TCTGCAGATGACACTAATCATTGAATCCTTGAGATCATAATGTAACGAAGTTGTTTTTTAATCTGATAGTTATATAATTATATGTATATAGTTTAGTCTAAAGTATATATTTTTATGGATTACATCTTTATTGGGAGTAACATAGTATCGTTTTGATTAAGACACCTGTTGTGTGAAAGTTACAACTGTACCTGACACACGTGCGCGTATGTGAGCAGACTCGAGTTACAGGTAGACTCATAATGTATGAAACTTGATGTTGACAGGGATCTATAGTACCGACATGTTATAAAAGCACTATGAATTTGCTAGTTAAATTTTCACCGTTTTGCTATATCTTGTTAAAGTAAATTTAAACACAAGTAACTAAAGAAAGGAACGAACTCTATTTGTAGCCATCAAAATAAACTATTAAGTACTGACACGTATAATCATTTACAAACATCATTAAAATATAACAAACACGTGCGTTTGTTCTCACTGGATCATATTACGTATACATAATTGCGAATGACGTATACGAAAAGTCCATTCACGCTAATAATTCCAAAATTCATAATTGTCGGTAATGTCGAATACAACAAAAAGATACATTTCATTTTCGGTTTATTTTACTGCTCGTTTATAACACTGCAATGAATTCAAATAATATGAACAGTTCTGTATAAGATATTCAGAGTGGCCAGATTGAAATTCGTATAAAATAAATAGTAACGACATAAGTTCCTTATAAATAATGGTTAATTGTTTAATTAAAAGATATTGCTAAATTAAGGATATCTATGAAACTGTTATTTGCGTCAAGTGTTCTGAGTTCACTGAACTGTAACTTTTTCAGCTGAAATTTATTTTTCATTTACATCAAGTGAAAATAATAATATATTTTATGTTATGCACTCTCGCCGGTATATAAATTGTTAATCTTATTATTATGATTATTTGAAAACTACAATTAACCGTAACCTATACTGCATTTGTTCTACGTTACGTCAAATATGCGAATCTAGGGGAAATTTAGAATAAAAGACACAAAAGAGTGGTATCTGAGCCACGCCGACACATTCCAGCTGCTCGAGAGGTGTGTCATATTCCAGTCAAAGTGGCGCTTTTCTTTGTATGCGTTCTCAGTGATGGCTTTGAGTTACGAATCGATTTACGTGTGGCAAACTGACTAAAGAGCTTTCAAGAATATGAAAATTTATTTCTAATTAAGTGCACTTAAGAAACTGCGTTGTAAAAAGAGTTATAAATATAAGGCGATGAGATAACGGCAATTTTTTAGTAGGAAAATAAGGAAAAAGTCGAACAATTTTCAACGTACTGCTTATAAATGAAACTAGACAATATAATGCGCAAAAAGCCATTGTTATGTTTCTCCTCTTCAAAGGAAGTCTTTTCTACGAAGTAACGCACAATATATTTTTGTACTTAAAATTAAACAAAATTTTAATATAAACTAGATTTTATAAAATCAAACGAAGCGATACTTCAATAGATAATTTACTTACCTTGTGTCTTCGTTTGTGTCTTCTTGGTTGATTCCCGGCTAGTAGAAAGTTGTCATGTGGTACATTGGGCACGTTACTTCGTTTTTTCAGTGATGTCCTTTTCGAGTCACGTCTTTTCTTTTTTCGTTTGCCGTTACGAAATAGTTTACCGAATATTTTCATTTTGCGTTTCCGATCGTTTCTTTACCTACAGGATGACAAACAACACTGTCGGTAACGTTACCAGAAACTGTTGGTAACATTGCACAGCAAGGTTAGTCGGTAATTGCAGTAATTCAACAATTACCAATCAAATATCTAATAAACGTTATCCAAATAATTATAACGATACACTAAAAAAACTGAAAACACTAAATAAATAGATACTTCGATATTCAAAACGTAAATCAGCAATATCAAAAACAAAATGTACCTTCAAGCAAAAGTGAATTTTATATTAGAAAAATTACTTGCAAAAAGAATTCTATAGTGCACAAAATATTCGGTACAAAAATTCTTACATACAACTCGGTGCATGACAGTAAGAATTTTCTGGTAATGATTTAAAAGCATCTCAAGATTAAATTAAATTAATAATTTATTTATTATTTTAATATATTGTTAAAATAATGTTTAAATAATGTATTAGTAAAATAATAATATATTATTATTGTAAATATTATTATTTATTATTTAATATATTATTTATTAATAATTTAATTACGCATTAAAATGAACCCTTTGCACTCGGAAGTATTTCGTTAGAGATTAAAATTTTCTAACTAGACACAGACGATATTTTCTGAAATTAACTCAAAGTGAAATCGCAGGTGAATTGAGAAACAAAGCTTTTTCATCTCAATATTTCACACACCAATGCATTGTATACAGTTCAATATTAAATATCAAATTTTATAGTTTTCTACGTGAAATCAAGCGATGACTGAGAGTCACCTCTCGAGTGCAAATGGTTAACTAGATGACTTTTGGATACTCCGTAAACGAAACTGTGCGACTTGCGTAAGTTGCGAAATGCACCGGATAATTATACATTACCAGTTTTGGAAGAGAAGCCTGTCTCCGAGGATTCAATTTGAAGTAATATTTCCGTATCTTGTCAAATTCACCGTTCACTGTTGAAACACATGTCCAAGAAACGAACGACGGAAAATGATGTTCCACTGGCGAGCACAGATTAAATAGAACTTACGTCGAACGATTTAACCAAACGAAAGGTACTACGAGGTAGATCGAACTTCGATTCATGGAAGAAGACTGGAAAATACGCAGAGGTACCATTTGAAATGTGGGCGGCTTCGTGGCCAGCTTATCACGGCGGGTGTTGCTGATACGGGATGAGCCACTGGAATCTCGATGTCATTCTTTGTCCACTCCGGAAGAACGATCAATCTATCGACCGAATGAAGCCCCAGAATCGCATATTGGCTTCATATTCTTGGTGCTTTCACGTGTTTTTCGTTACTTTCAATACCCTTGTTAAAAGGGGTTGCAGCGTACAATGATTTATTCGCATGACCATTTACTGATCGAAAACACATCGTCGATTAACTTTTCATTTAACAGATTTTTCCATGCACTACTTTGAACCTGATACAACTAGCTGTTCGTTATGGTTTATAGGTAGGTACTGTTTCTTGAAAGAAAATGTTTCAATTGTATTGAATAATCTGTCTATTCTGAACAAGAATATTTTCTATTACACAAGATGCTCGTGTTGCCATTTATACACCGGTTTCAGTATGTTTGTATTAGGCTTTCCTTTGATTAACGACCCCGTTAATTACAAGTAATCTATCATGAACAGTGCATGTTTTTCTACTGATAAGACAAATTCTAAATTCAAATGCCTATTATTCGTCCACCTCTTTTATGGTCTACGATTACTCGAATCACCATTTTTTGTATCTTAATCGTTAAATCAGATATTGATAGTTTGTAGCATCAAAATAAATATATATAAATATAAGATCGTTTGAATTTTGAAAAGTAGACATACAATAAGTAACTTATATTCGTATCGCTACTTCCGAGATGAACCTTCCGAATTCTACAACGTTACGGGGAAATCCCATATTATAAAAAACGAAGTTAATACTATTTTAAACTACAGTAACACCTGATTCGTTCGATTAATACATTAATGGAATACATGAATTCTGGGTTTTAATAAAATCGCGAAGCCTCTACAATTATTCATTAAGGTCCAAACGGGAAACGAATATACATAAGAATAAATGTGAAAGTTTCTTGAAGGTGTCTGTAGTGAATTGTAAAAATGGAGATCGTTACACATTAGGCACTCAAAATTTATTAAATAACCAAACTCGTACCATTCAATAATACAAACTCTAATAATACGTCGGAACAATATGGAAACGATATGGCAACAGAACCGCGAAACGGAAACTCATGTTAAATATGAGGAACGCTTATCGGACGATGGACGTTTCGTTTCCGTCGTCGAATACTAAAATATCGTAAGTATTTAAATCACGAATTGGAACGCAACGAGAAGTAACGACAATAATATTCCTCGCGCGTTTATATATCTAAATGGCACAATTCCACTCGAATTCTCAATATCCAGAAAATAATAAAATAATTAATTTCCACGCGATGAACATTTACAACATAGAATCTTTCGGCTTTGTCTTCGTCGCTTGGGACTGACATTTATTTCATTGTTCCTTTTAGAGAGAACACCGTGTTAAAGGAAGCTTAAAGCTGCGATGTTCTTTCAAGGAAGTTCTTCTCGTTGATTCCATATAGTTCCTCTCGGTTGTACTAACAATAAGAGAAACCAGCGAAATAAAACGATAAAACGACATTTATGCTTCGTTCATGGAATTCTCCTAGGCGAAACGCGGCTTTAATTGGTTCACGCACGCCCCAATGCAACCGCGTCAGAGTGAATGAATCGAAGCTATAGATTTTTGGCTATCACTCGATCGTTCGACTCACATAAAAATAATCGCTTGCATGTATTCTCATCTATAGTTAGTTACATGATTACACTTCTTTTCTAAACACTCAGATCTTTACTGTTTCGAATGCAAATACAGCTACGCTATATACGAGGTGTCTCAAAAGTTTGGCTGAGGATAGGTCGAGCGTTTCGTAATACGTTACGTTCAAGTATCTGATCTCGCTTTCTTATGTTATTTGCAATGAAAAGGGAACGAACTCCTTTCCCCTTCGTTTACATTAAACGAGAGGGGGGGAAAACACGATACGAATC